ACATCTCCTATACAGATGAAGTCCAGTATTTTAGGTAGATACTCTGCCTTGAAGAGACGAAGCACACTTCTGCACTTGTTAAGTAAGGGCTGAGCCAAGTGACTTTCTTCAGAGAAGTGAAACGTAAGCAATTGGGGAAAAATGAATAATGTATAGTGAAGAAACCTGAGAAACTATTTCAGCCAGATGATTAAGGTGAACATCAACAGTGATAAGTCATTTTGAGAGCATGTCCCTGTGATAGATTGTGATGAGAATGGCACTTAACCTCTGTGGTCTTCGCCCCTAAAATCCACCATACTCCCAGTATAATCATGAGAAGGGAAAATTATATTAATGTCAATTGAGAGACAGTCTACAAAATATCTGGTCACTAACCCTGAAGACTCTCCATATCATTAAAAATGAGGAAAGCTGGCCGGGAGCGGTAGCTCATGTCTGTAATCCCAACACTTTGGGAGGCCAAGGCAGGTGGATCACGAGGTCAAGAGATCGAGACCATCCTGGTCAACATGGTGAAACCCCGTCTCTACTAAAAATACAAAAAAATTAGCTGGGCATGGTGGCGCGTGCCTGTAATCCCAACTACTCAGGAGGCTGAGGCAGGAGAATTGCCTGAACCCAGGAGGCGGAGGTTGCGGTGAGCCGAGATTGCGCCATTGCACTCCAGCCTGGGTAACAAGAGCGAAACTCTGTCTCAAAAAAAAAAAAAAGAGGAACGCCTGCAAAATTATCACAGACGAGAGAAACCTAAAGAACCTGATAACTACATGCAATAGCATATTGTGGTAGTATCCTAAGACAACAACAACAATAAAAGAATATTAAGTTTAAAAAAGTGTAAAAAAAGTATACAATGTAATTAACAAGGCATCAGTACTGGGTCATTAATTATATTAATTATGATAACGATACTATAATAATGGAAGACGTCAGCAGGGGAAACTGGGTTTGAAATGCACAGCTAATTTCTGTACCATCTTAGTAATTTTAAGTGTGTGTTTTTAAAACTGCTACTTGAATAGTAGAATAGCAATACAATGGGAGATTCAACAACAGCATGCAAAAGATCATAAATACTCATCAGAAATAGAACTGATGAAACAGGGAAAAGCATGGGAGAGGAGAGGAGAAGGGAGGGGAAGGGAGGGGAGAAGGGATGGGGAAGGGGAGGGGAGGGAAAGAGAGGGAAGGAGAGGAGAAGGGGAAGAGAGGGGACAAAGAAAAAGCAAGCACTGGAGAATAGTTCAGATCCCAAGCAACAACAGAGGTACTAAACTTGGAAAAAAGAAGATATAGACTTGGATCTCATGAATTCAAAGCCAGTGGATTGGATCGGCCAGGTGGTGTTCAGAAGATAGCAAATATATGCAACTGAAACTCCATCATCTTACTGAAAGGGAAAACGTATAAATATACATTTAAGGAACATTTGAATAGCATTTATACAGAGATGAAAATTGCTATTATAACAAGAGGCCTCCAAATGTCAATGATATAAAAAAGAAATGAGAACAGAAGGGAGAACTCTGTGGGACTATTTTTGTAGGCTGTGTGAGAGGTATGTGAATCCTTAAAAGAGGAAAGAAAAAAATGCGTGAACAAAAAGGTGGAAGAAGTTGGAAGATGAGATATGAAGGTGTGATTAACTCCACAGAAACATTAGGGAGATGAAAAAAAGAAAGAGTGAGGTTTTTAAATTATTATGTTATTGGTGAACTTCAAAGAAACAGATATCAGGTTGTTCAACAGTTATAAAGGAGCGAGAGAGGAGAACGCAATACACTGCATCTCATGGGTAAAGGGCTGCAGTGCGCCTAACACAATTCTGTTAGTGTCCTGGCTCTGCCACTTGTTGATTGTGACTAGACATTTTTCTTCACATGTTCAAGCCTAATACTTATATGCAACATAAATATAATGGTAATATGTGTCTCATCAAGTATGCATTAAATGCTTGTAGCGTAATTGTCAACATAGCATATGCTCAGTGATTAATAGCTCTATTATTCATATTACTTAAAAAAAAAACCCATCAGAGAAAAAGAGATGAAAGGCTTAATGAAAATTCTCTTGAACTTAGAGAAGAGAGAATTACTGATTGTCTCATGTAATTTTCAATCAATGAAAACACCATATCCAGAGGAAAACTGATAGGAAGAGACTAAATAAATTCCATTTGGATGTTAGGGATTTAAGTGATGATGTGGGCTAACATACAGCTACACCCAAAGGAAGCTAAAAAGAAATGAAATTAGACACAATGAGATTGAAAATTCCAAGTAAGTTAAGATCAGGGTAGTATTGAGATGTTAAATGTCCATGTTTAAAAGGAGATGCAAAGTGATATAGCTTCAAATATATCGAATTCTTGGTAATGTAGACATGAATATTTTCAATTGTATAAGAGTTTTTACCTGTACTGTGGCAACGTCTTTTGTCCTTCAGTCTTGGCTCTTGACTAAGATATTGACATCAAAACCAATAATTTTTAGGTTATTTATTCTTTATAAGGAAGTATAATAATATATTATAGTATAACTCATAATTCCCAGAGTTTATTTCATGATAAATTACCTTGTCATTGTATTGTAATAAATAATAATGTAGAAGTTATAAAAACAAGGGAAAAAGCATCAGCATGAAAGTTGATACTTAATTATTCACAATTAAGAAAAGGGCTTTACCCCATAGTTGTTTCCTATTTCTTGGTTTTACCCAAGTCATTTGGCCACTCTTATCTTCTATTTTTTTTTTTTAATTTTAAAATGGGACAATTAAAATGACATCCAATTAAACCCTAATAAAGTTTAAGAACTGTTGAGAAATTTAGTAAATAAAATTGATTGTTTTGAAAATCTGTGACAGTTGATTGTTAAGAAAATAAATAATAAAAGGATTAAGTGACTCCAAGCTACTTGGGAGGCTAAGGCAGGAGAATCACTTGAACCGGGAAGATGGAGGTTGCAGTGAGCCGAGATTGCGCCATCGCACTCCAGCTTGGGCAACAAGAGTGAGTCTCCATCTCAACAAAAAAAAAAAAAAAAAAAAAAACATAGGGGGCAACCACAAAAAAAAATGGGTTTTTTAACATGTAAATACATATATAAGTATGTGTATGTGTGTGTATGTAATATACATGCATACTAGAATTAATCTCATTGTTTTATAAAAATGGATATGAAGTAAAATTATCAGGTTTCTTTTCCAGATTTGGGGTCATTATGACTGATTATATTACATTTTACATCCTTTTTAAACTGAGAAAAAGTTATGATAATGTAATTTAAAGGTAAGGGAATATGTAAATGGAAATTTTGTATTGTTTCTATGCTACGTATATGTGCATATACTTGTTTTTGTAGATGTGTATGCGTGTGCCTCTCCACAACAATAAAAAGAATGCCACAAGGTCCATTAGCAGACAAATATTTTGTGTAAATGTTTTTTAAGGCTAACAGAACAGTAATGGATGAAACTGGGCAAAAATTTGCAGACTAGGGAATCAGTGTTGTAGCTCAGTGGAAAACTTATCTTCTCACCACAATCCTAGGATGTGTCAGGATTTGGACATATCATATGGCAGAAAACTGGACTGATACAGGAGGGTGAAATACAATAAATTAGAATGGAAGTCTATATAGCTCCTTTTTCACATATTGTGTTTGAAGAACATAATTCAGAGGAAAAAATAGCATTACAAAATGTAAGAAGTTGCAATTAGCATCATCAGAGTGAGTCAAGGAAAGACTGATCTAAAATTAAGAGCAGAATAATATAAAAAAACAGAGGACAGAACAACAAAATATTCTTGAAATTAAAAATTTAAAAATAATCACTACAAAAAATCAATAGAACTAGAAGACAAAGAGGAAAAGAACACCATGGAAATAGGGTAAAGTATAAGACAGAAAGTGACAGTTGAAAGATAAGTAGTGCTTAAATCTAAAACATCCAAAAACCAAAGATCAAAATTCCACAGAGGGAACAGAAAAATGCAGGGTAGGAAATTATCAAAGAATAATTTCAGGAAAGTCTCTCAGAACTGAAGGTTCTGAAGTTCTGTGTTGAAGGGAGTCATAGAATACCAGGTCCTGAGAATGACAAAAAAACAAACAAACAAACAAACAAAAAACTCATCTTGGCTCATCCACGTGAAATTTTGTAACAATAAGGATAAAAAATGTGAAGACTATTATGTAAAAAAAAATCACATATAAAAAAAAGAATGACATGGTCACTATGTTGTCTCATTACCTCAGTTGGATGATAAAATATGACACAAACTATTTTCAAAATATTGAGGAAATCATTTGAAAAAGAACATAATTCCAAATGAGAATTGTGTACCTATGCAAACTACAGATTGATGAAGCAAAAAAAAAAAAAAAATCAAGGAAGGAGTAATTTATGAAAATAGCATACCCCTACCACCACATACACACGTCTCTTTCCTTAGTAATCAAACTGAGGCTGTTTATTGACATTTAATCAACTCTTTCTTCAGATCTAGTAATAAGTTAGGGACCTCTTCGTATATAAGGCCTGCACATTGACATCTAATTTTAGGAATTTCCATTTTTAATAAAATAGTTACTGAAACTTTTCCAAGGGTTTTTGTGGGCAATAACACATCCCTTCTAATTTTTTCTTCCAACCATTTGTTTATCCTGTTTGGCTCAAGATCTAGGCTAATTATTTTAACAAGTTTTTCTCTCTTTTCATATATACACCTCTGCTCTTCAATTGGCAGAAGAATTTTGACATTTGCACCTAAGAAATGCTTGTCTGGCTCCTCTTATCTGGTAGAAGTGATGAGTTTTAATGTATAACCCATCCAACCCATAGTTCAAAGATTCCTAATATTTAAATTATGCTTTAAGGTTAATAAAACAGAGCGGTGGGCGGCTAAGGAGCTTGCACCATATTTCTGGTGAGAATTTGGTACAAAAGAAATTTAAGATTATTTCTAGTATATCATATTGTTTCACTCATATGTGTTGATCTAATACTTCATTGAATACAATTAAATGTAACATTAAAAAATATGTCTAAGTAACATACATATGTTACATATAATACGTACATATACACTTCTATAAAAGTAAATATTCAAGGCAATAACAAAATTATGGTTTCATTATTACTAACAGCCAAAATTTCCTATATAAATTCTAAACATTTTATATTGCTTAATGCCTAAATGAAGGCCAATAATTGTATTATAAATAAAGCAGAACTTAACATGTTATAAGTATTGAAATATTAGGCCTAGTGTGATGTCATAGCCTATAAGATATCCCATAATACTTAAATATATGAGCACCAAAGAACTCTTTCCCCCATATCTCTCCTCTGGTGCCTCATTGTTTCTGAAATGATTTCTATTCAAATTTTTTTTTACATGGATTTGGCTTTTTTTGTGTGTTTTAAACCAAGCCAGTTTTGAAAAAGAAAATTTGATGAACATCTGTGTAGTTGATATGGGATGAATTGTTATAATCATATGTTATAATCCTATGCCCCAGTACCTCACAGTATGATTATATTTGGAGATAGAGCCTTTAAAGAGGTAATTGAGATAAAAAGAGCTCTTTTAGGTGGGTGTATGCAGTATGACTGGTGTCTAAGAAGAGAAATAGGACATGAGTAAGCACAGAGGAACTACCCTGTGAAGACACAGAGAAGATGGCCCTTGGTAAGTAAGCCAAGGAGGGACTCCCAGGAAAAATCAACTCTGCCAGGACCTTGGTCTTGGATGGTTTGCCTCCAGGACTGTGAGGAAATACATTTCTGTTAAGTCGCTCAGTACGTGGTATTTTGTTATGGCAGACCTAGCAAACGAATGCAGGGGTGTGGCAAAAATAAAAGCTTGACGTAATAAAAAGCATTTAATAGTTTAGTGCAAATAAAATCTATTTCATATTTTTGTTTAGCGTCTCAGCCATGAGGTTTGAAATGACCAGTCCCTCCCAAGTTTTCTCCATGCTACCATTGCTCCTGCTAAATGACTACATGCAGAGGCAGTTATATTCCCTAGCAAAATGCAAAATGCAGCAATTCCTGATGAGAATCATCTGGTCTACCGGAAGTAATCTTGCGCAATAACCTTCTTCAAGAGTCATGCATCACTCCTTAGCAAATCATGTTGCTAAGGCAAACCCAAAATTTGTCCTAATCTTTATCTACAGGATGGTTATGGCATCCTCATCTTTTAAAACATGTTATACAAATACTTTCCCAAACATACTGTAAATTATCACACTACGTCAATATTGTAATGCAGTTCTTAAGGATTAGACAAGGCAAAATTGGGATGGGATGGAACAAAACAAGATCAACAGCCATTCCTGAGAGGAAGAAAATGAGAATATGCAATTTGGAGATACCAACAAAGAAATGGGGAATGGAGATTCAAATGGCCCCATTGCTGCAGCATAATGAGTAGTCAGATGATTTTAAAGGATGCATTTATAAATGGATAAGGGTGAATATGATTTTCTTGTGTTATCTGTATTTCTGTCTGTTTTTCCCATGTGTGAATTTTTAACTTCAAAACTTTGCAAATATTAAATGTATTTATGAATATTTCATAAACCCAGCTAGATATTGACCACATCTTCAGGATGCACCCATAAGCAACTTTTTTAACTTATATATAGTGTGAATATTTCAGAAGTCACTTACATAGTTATCGTATTTATATAAAATATATTTTATAATTATATTGCCTCTTTTTATGTTTTTCTAGCTAGTGTGCAATCCACTTGAAAGCAATGTATGTGAGTATAGTTTACTAATGTGTTACAAAATCTAATATGACTTAGAAATTTGCATCCAATTAGAAAGTTCTTTTCAGGGAATTTGTAGGGGAGAATTTAAATGAAGATTTTTGTAGAAGAGAGAACTAAGAGGTAGCTATGAGCTCCAGCACAATAATGGTGTTCACAAAGGTGAAGTCTATGTTAGCAAAGTAAGTATATCAGCTGCCTGGGATTGCATTTGCATTCATTATAGGATTTAGTCATTGGTTTGAACTTTTTTAATCCTTGACTTTTTATTTTTTCAGTAACGTATAACAAATATTTTTAGACATCTTATAAATCCATCCTCTATTATTTGATATGTATTTTATTTTCACTGCTCATCAAAGAATCACTAGATCATAAGAAACTTTGAGAAACTGTGTAATGAATTTCTCTTTCCATGCTTAAATGAATGGCACTTTTTTTCCTAGGAATTTTCATAGAAACACAGCCTGAAATTATTTCTATGACTAAAAGCTGAATCTGGTTACCGTTAAAACCAATTTTCCACACACCAGTACAATATTAAACAAACCAATATTTATTTTAATGTGTAATTTGAGCCCTGAGGCCTCTCTTTAGAAAGAGGAATATATTTTTCTTTTCTTTTTTTTATTTAATTTTTTTGGAAAAGAAAGTAACATTTTAATGAACAGCTTTAATGTGAACTAATGTTAAGATCAAACATCGTTTCTAGAATACAGGACTTATATATTGACCTTGATATTTTCATATTTTCTGAAAGGGTCGGAAAAACAAATATGTTTTGCCATACAGTTTAAAAAAGAAAAAGAAAACCTTTTGAATTATAAGAAGGTGGAGATTAGAAAGTGTTCTTCATTTGTTCTCAAAAGAATGAGGAGAGCCAGAGTGTCGCTATTGCTTCTTGACATAAAGACAGTATCTTTGTTTTATGTCCTCTTTATCTCTGAATCCTGCAATGCCATCACAGCAGAGTGTACTGTACACCACTTTAAATGATAAGAGTTTCAATAGGCACTTTAGTGGAATTAAGAAAAATCTAACACTCTTCCACCGTGATGCCACATAGCTAACTTCGTTCTAGGTTGTCATGTCAGTAAATTGTATTGAATAGGCCTGAGCTTGTCTCAGTGTGATTGTGAAAAAAACAAAGCAAGAAAACAAAGCAAGTGCACATTATAGGATGTATCTCGTGTTGGCAGAATAAACCAGAACTGACAATATGATTAATATAGCAACTTGCTAGAAACCGGATAATCAAAGGAACCTTGTCCTAGAAAGTCTGTGTTTGTGTGTGTGTGTGTGTGTGTGTGTGTGTGTGTGTGTGTGTGTGGTTTCTATTAATATGTGTTTCTTTTTCTTTTTTAAAAATTTCCCCTCTCGGCTGTATTTCAGCCTTCACGACTCCCCTAAGTGACTTTATCAGAGTTATAACTCTCTTCTTCGCCAAACATGTCTGCCAAGACTTTAAAGCGGGGTCCCCAGTCTGTCAGGTAATCGTAGTCCTGGTCGGCTTCTGTGGTGAGAGAGTCTATAGAGCTGAGGGACTCTGCCACGGACCCACTCCCTTCGTAGGCATATGTGGCCAGTGAATCGTATGGTGGGGCAGTTGGGTCCATGTCATTTTCCTGCAGCCTTTGATGAATGAAATCCCTTATGTCTGTGTTATCTTCCACTGGTGGTCTCTGACGAGGTAAACAGAGAGAGTCTGGTTTTATATCCCTGCGAATTTTGTTTTCCTCAATCACTTTTGGGTTTCTCAGAGCCCCGATGTCGAATGCCTGGGTATCCTCCTCCCCACCTCCTTCATCATCATAATGGATGACGTTGTCTCTGATGTCTTCCTTGGAGGTCATCAGGGTGTCTTTCTTCTTCTGCCTTCGCAGTGCTACATACAGTACAACTATGGCTGGAACAAGACAAAAATTGCAATTTGAGAATAGAAAGCAGATAGATCGTTTCATTTCTCCATATAAACTAAAATTGATTAGGGGTGACTGCGTTTCATTAATGGCTTCCTATTACTTGCATAGTAAACATAATATAATCAATAGGATCATGCATATGTTGAAATATTTTATTGTTTAAAGCCAGCTTCATTTTGAAATTGTAACTAACAAGAAATCATGGCAAAGTTATTCACAAAATAAAACAAGTATGCCTTTATATTGAAGTATTTTGGGGTCAGAGAAAAAATGTCTGTTGCAGCAAAAGAAAAAAAATGATACAATAATTGTTCCACTCATATAGAAAACCATAAGAGTTAATATAAGAAAATATGAATGTAATCATCTATAAATAAGACGATCATTCATAGGTAACTTTCCAGTTGTAACATTCCTAATTTTAAATTAGAAACTTATGTTTCTTATGCAATAAGCCCAAGTCTTCACTGTGACAATTATTTTTAAAGGCAATAAATAAGAGAGAGAGAAGTAGAGGAAGGAAGGAGGGAAGGAAGGAAGGAAGAAAGGAAGGAAGGAAGGGAGGGAGGGAGGGAGAGAAGGTGGGAGGGAAGGAAAAAAAGAAGGAAGGAAGGAAGGACCTTATAAACCTGACAAACTGAAACATTAATTTCAATTCTGTGTCCTGCCATATTTAGACAGTTTTTAAAGCAAATGCCTAGAATTCAGGTTACCTTCATAAAATCATATTTTAAAATTGTTAATTTATGTCCTTTCATTATTTAAATCTCTCTTTATTCCTAGTTCATTTAAAGCTCTCCACTAAATCAATGGTGTTTATTTCTTCTATGTGTGAATAGGCACAGGTACAAATGATGACATCAGTATTCAGCTTTTCTTGTCATAACAACCCCTCTCCTCCATAGTGGTGTCCACAGGATGAAAGCTAATGTGTATTTGATTTACCATAGCAGAGTCCGGAAGACACCTGTCATAGAATTATAAGGTAGAAAAGAATGCATTATGATAAAATTTCATCTATTCTCTCTTCCTTCAAAATTACAGATGGACCAATTGGAAAGAGAGAGAGCTCTAGGTAGAGACTCTGTACAGTGGGCCCTGGGGATATGTTTAGCAACCTGCACTCCTCCCAAGGGTTTATGGGATCTCAGAACAAAGGACACTGTTATTTGTTCATCTACTGAGTATGTGAGAGACTGCAGTCCTCAAGGAGCAGCCTCGTACATAAATGAGCTTAGAATCACCATGGCTGAGAAGGAGACTAACTAGATGTGCCTGAAGTCCATTCTAAAATGACCCAAGCACCATAAACTTTCTGTGCTTACTCTTACCCAAGAAAGGGTAGGTGAATGGCTGAGAACAAGCTAGCAGACCTAAAGGAGCATGAAATTGGTCAAGGAGGTCAAAGATTGGGTGGATTTTTAAGCAGACCCCATGGCAGGACAAAGAGTGTCAATGTACACTGCTGTATATCAAAAATTCGCAATGTCTAGAATAGTGCTGGTGCTCTATGGATGCTCAGGAAGTATTTGGATAAATGGGTGGCAGGTGGCAGTACATGCTAAGGATGACCTGAGCAGATCACTTGCTCCATTGGATGATGGCCAAAGGAGAACATCCAGAACATACCAAACCATTACAGGTTGGTACTGTCAATCCACATAAGAAACAGAAAGAGTTTCTCTGAAATAAAATATATTTATTTGGGAATAAAGTATAGCAATGGGAATATGGGTGCCATAGTAAACTATGTGTATGTTCAGGGAAATAAAGGAAGACAAAGGTTTTTAAAGAAAAAATGAGGAGGATACATATTTTGTTTGCTTATTTGAGACAGAGTCTGGTACTGTCACCTCGGCTGGAGGGCAATGGCATGATCTCAGCTCACTGCAACCCCATCCTCCTGGGTTCAAGCAGTTCTCCTGCCTCAGCCTCCTGAGTAGCTGGGATTACAGGCATACATCACCATGCCAGGCTATTTTTTGTATTTTTAGTAGAGACAGGGATTCACTATGTTGGCCAGGCTGTTCTCAAACTCCTGACCTCGTGATCTGCCTGCCTCAGCCTCCCAAAGTGCTGGGATTACAAGCATGAGCCACCATGCCCGGCCAAGGAGGATATAAATTGTTTTAAATAATTATTCTTGACCACAAAGATTAATAACAAAGGTGATGACAGTCCGACTTTGGACAGGCAGTTGCTGGGCAGATGTCCCAGCAGAAGTGATTTTGTATAAGGTTGTGCCAGCCTATGTGCGGGGTTGTGATTTTTACAGTCTTTTCCATTATCAGGCACATAAGCCTGAAAACCCTCTCTCCCTGGTCTTGCCTAGCTCTATTTGTCAGGTTTTTCTTAACATTAGTGACTCCATTTTGATTCTGACAACGTTCACAATATAGAAATACTCCAGGACTCAGCTACAATAGAAGAGAGGTGTATGAGACAGAAATACTTCATTTGATGTTAAATACCTAAATGATCTTGTTAAATTTCAGAAGTGAAAATATTTCTTTGAATGTGTTCTTAAAGTTTATATTCACAAAAAGAGATGCCAGGGATAATTTGTTATGAATTATAGGATATAAAGAACACTTTGTTCTGAACACCAAAGCTGCTCATGTGGAATGAATACCTACACCATGCCAATTCAACCAGAACTTCACCCTCTCTGCCAGCACAAGCTTCTGACTCAGGGAGGGGTCCCCACAAGCTATCATGTAATGCCTTACTCTGTGCCTTACATCCTATTAATTAAATTTCTTTCCTAGAGATAAAATCAGGTATCCATATTTGTCAGATTATATTTGGCTAAGTAGTAAATATGCATGTACAATTTGATTGCATACTACCAATTGTATATCTGTTGCCATTTGATTTTAAAGGAATGAGATGTAACAGAAAATCTCTCTACTTTTGTGAATCTGGCAGTGAATTAATAAATGGGGAAGCTGAACAGAGTTGATGGAAGAGAGAACCCCCTAATAGGTTTATATTCACTCTCACAGAGATGTTGTAGATTACTTTTACTTCAATCATTTTCCTTTGGAGTGTTTCCAGATATTTTAATCTGTTCTGTTCTCATGGAAATGGTTAGAATTTTCATGTAAGGAGATGCAAGAAACTGGAAGAAGAATTTTTTTTGGATGGCAGTTTAAACAGAAAAGACAAATTTGAGGATTACTTTACATCCTGTTTCTTTCTGATCTCTCTTTATCTTCCTTTCTTTATTGAACTGGAATTTGGGATCCATTGTTCATGAAGTATATTTTTAAAAGGACGATATAATCTCTTATTAGACAGCAGCAATTACTAGGATGTAAAATGAATTGAGAAGCTGTTGTAAATGGATATTTATTAAAGAGGATTTCACTGTGACAAGGGTCACAAACTATTATTACTAGAAAATTCCTTCAGTATTGAACATATTTTTGGCGTTTATTTGATAACGTTATTTATTTATCCTCGATAATATATATCCAAGTATGAAATAGAAAAATTGCATTAATAACGTTAATTCAATACACATAGATTATCTTCTAGCTAGGTATGATGTGTCAATGAAGAAAAACCTGCTTAGATGACAAATTGCGGAGAGAGATAGAGGAGAAAGGGGGAGAGAAAGAAAGAGAGAGTGAGTTAGAAATAATTAACAACGATTAATATTGAAACGAACCTAAGAGTATAATAATGCATAGTAGAATTGCAATCAACGCCCCAGTGCTAAGTCCTACAGGTAGAAAAATTGCTTCCACATTACAAGACAGGATGGTACCATCAGAGTCACATCTACAAACTCGAATAGTCATTGTGTTTGTGCTGCTCTGGACAGGGTAGCTGCTGTCTTCTATTATAACAGGGAGGAAATACAACTCTTGCTGCCTGCGACTGTATCCATTTCTTCGAGCTTCAATTCCAGCTGTATTGTCTACAAAACATGACATTTAAGGTAACAGGGTTACGTCAGATCTTCAAGTTGGTATCTACTCAATAGTGAGAAGGTCTTCTTGAATCAGAAATATGGATTCTGATATTCTTTATTTCTGTTCACATTATGAAAAGTGCCAAAATATAATCAAAATAATCATTAGAGGAAGAAGAAACATTAATCTTGTCTGGTGGAAGAATTAAATTTTCTATTCAGAAAGATTACAGAATGATCTACAAAACAGAAAGTATGTTAGATTGATCCATTTTTTTCTGACATCGCAATCTCATTAAAAAATATTTTGTAGATATTCTCATGTATAATAGGAAAGATTACAAACTATGAATATGTAAAATATCTCACAAACGTACTCTTTATATTAAAACCAATTGACTATTTTAAATTAAGGATTTTTCTATCTACATGTTGTATGTATATGTATATGTTTATAAATATGTTCATATATGTTACATTTGTTTGTATGTATGTTCTCCTCTGCACATCAGCTGGCGAAAGATACATGGAAAAGAAAATATGTTAAAAACATTAAAAATTGTAAATACCTTGAACTATAACAATCACTACTTTAATATAATTACAAAAGTAATTCATTATAATTCTGGTTAATTAAAAAACAATAATATTTACTTACAATAATGCGAGGCAATGAAAATTGCTACTTTTATATAAATGCAATTAATACTTCTATTGAAAGGTGCTCTTTTGCATGCATTTTCTCTTTTATTTCTAGACAAAAAAGCAAAAATTTTGTTTTATTTATAATATTTCATTTGTGTGTCAAAGTAATTTCTAGAAATGCTTTGTTATGTTTAGAAATGTACCAATACATAGTTTATTATAGCCGTGCATAATGCCCACCTGAGAATAAGGCAAGATCATTTTAGAAAAGTGTATAATATATTAAAATTGTGCAAGTCTGTCATAAATATGTTACTATTTCAGTCAGATTTCATTTTCCTATTGGTAGAATTTAAATTCAACAACTGAAATTTAGGCAGGTCCTCTAGCAATAGAAAGCGCCAAGATGAGAAACTTTATGTGATATGGTTAGGGATGAAAAAACGGATATTAATTGAATCAACATTTACATCTTCAGCAATTAATGGTTGAACACTTGAGTCTGTGGGAAAGAAACAGGCTAGGAATACATGTCATAATCTCAGTGGAAACCCTTCCTCCCTCCTTCCCTTCCTTTTCTTTCTTTCCTTATTTCTTTCTTTCTTTTTCTTTCTTTTTTCTTTCCTCTTTCTTTCCTTCACTCTCTCTCTTTCTCTCCCTCCCTCCCTCTCTTTCTTTCTTTCCTCTGTCTCTCCCTCCCTCCCTCTCTCCCTCCTTTCTTCCCTTCTTTCTTTCTTTCTTTCTTTCTTTTCTTTCTTTCTTTCTTTCTTTCCTTCTTTCTTCTTTCTTTCTCTTTCTATCTTCCTCTTTCTTTCCCTTTCTTTCTTTCTTCTCTCTCTCTTTGTCTCTTTCTCTCTCTCTTTCTTTCTTTCTTTCTTTCTTCCTTTCTTGGTGGAGTTTCACTCTGTAGCCCAGGCTGGAGTGCAGTGGCTCATTCTCAGCTCGCTGCAAACTCCACCTCTCAGCTTCAAGTGATTCTCCTGCCTCAGCCTCCCAAGTAGCTGGGACTACAGGCATCCGCCACCACACCCAGCTAATTTTTGTATTTTTAGTAGAGGCAGGGTTTCACCATGTTGGCCAAGCTGGTCTTGAACTCCTGACCTCAGGTGATCCATCTGCCTCGGCCTCCCAAAGTGCTGGGATTATGCAGTGAGCCACTGCACCTGGCCCAATTTATTATCTATTGAAAACTGACCATAACAAATTTATTGTGCTGTCCATAGTGAGAAGAAAGACATACTATACTTCATTTCCACTCTCTAAATGCTTTCTTTTCATTAAAAATACCTTACAAATATAACTTAATATAAAATGAGGAACATGATAAATAGCACCTGAAATTTTCTGGCAAGTACATGTTTAGTCCATGAGAAAGCATTCTGCTATAAGGCAGTATCATCTGGCTTCCCTTATCATGATTAATCTGAAATAGATCTTTCAGCAGATATACATTGTGGAACATAGTCAATACTTGGGTTTGGTGAATGATGTGGCTCCTAGTTGCTGAAGCCTATGACCTGGAAATCTATTTTGTCTTATCACATTATACACACATACTGAATCTAGGGCATCTATCATAAAGTCTTATCAATTCTATTTCCTTCCACTTGTCTTCATCCTCACAGTCAGTACCCTAATCTAAGGCTCTCACCCATTTAGCGCAATGACATCAAAACTAGCTTTATCTCCCTGTATCTTTTCCATGCTGCATCTAAGCTGATTTCTCTATAATGTAAATATGACGTTATATTCCTGCTTAAATCTTTCAAAGCTACTAACATTGTTGGATTTAAATTAACTCTTGAAATGGCTACTAGGTAGGGTAATCATATGATCGTTTGTCTCAGACAGATCTATTTTATGTGTGCTGTTGTGACATAACATTATTAATATTTCCCACTTTTTGTTCTTAGAAATGTTTCAGTTTTTATAAAATACATGGTCACTGTAATTGTAAATAACTTCAAGACTGGACCGCTGTTCCACTTACAGCCATTTCTCACATTGCTCCATTTTATTCAGCAAACCCTACTCAACTTCTTTCAGTGATAAAATGTGGAGACTCCGATTTTATTTGCCTAATCAGGGCAGCCAACTAATTTCTTCAAAACATCCTCGGACTTCAATCATCATTATTGCCATCTCATCACAATCTGTTCACTGCTTCTTTAGCACAGAATTTATAAAAATTTATCTTTTTATTATTGGGCAATACACTCAGGTGTTTTGATTATGATATTACAGAATACGGAAACTTAGAAGTCATAAAATACCCAAGATTACAGACCTAATAAAGTCACAAATACTGATTAATAGACAACCTTGGTATTTCTAATCCAGTGTCCTTTCTATTTCTGTAGTGGCTGTAATTGTAGCAGATGTAACAACATTAGCAGGAGCAGCCACAGCAGTAGTGATGGCAAGAGTAGAGGCAGTTGAAGTCTAAGTGTACACCATGCAATACTTCACAGTCATGAAAAAGAATGAAATCATGTCCTTTGCAGCAACATGGATGCATCTGGAATCCATTATCCTAAGCAAATTGATGCAGAAGCAGAAAACTAAACACCACATATTCTCGCTTATAAAAGGTGGATCAAAACCAGCCTGACCAAGGTGGTGAAACTCCATCTCAATTAAAAATACAAAACATTAGCTGGACATGGTGGTGGGCACGTGTAGTCCCAGCTACTTTGGAAGGCTGAGGCAGAGAATGGCTTGAATCCAGGGGACAGAATTTGCAATGAGCCCAGATCGCACCACTGCACTCCATCCTGGGCAAAAGAGCAAGACTCCATCTCAAAAAAAAAGAGCTAAACTTTGGGTACACAGAACACAAAGATGGCAACAACTAACACTGGACATGCCAAAAAGAGGGAGGAAGGGAGGAGACAAAAGGTTAAAAAAACTGCTTATTGGGTACTAAGCTCAGTACTTCAGCAATAGGATCATTAGAAGCCTAAACCTCAGCATCGTGAAATATACTCATGTCACAAACCTGCACTTCAATCTAAAATTTTAAAAAGTAAAATTAAGAAAAACCATCTTATTCCATATTGTGTTAAATAATAGATACAGTCCACATTTAAAGTATGATGTTTCTATTGTTTGCAAGTAGAATTACTTATCTGCAATTGCTAAGTGGCTTTTTAGAAAATATACATGTTATTGCATTTTAGGTTTTGAGGTACATGTGAAGAACATGCAACATTGTTGCATAGGCACATACATGGCCATGTGGTTTGCTGCCTCCCTCCCCATCACCTATATCTGTCATTTCTCCCCATGTTATTCCTCCCCAACTCCCCAACCCCCATTGTCCCTCCCCTAGTTTCTCCCCTCAGACCCCAATATGTGATGGTCCCCTCCCTGTGTTAATGTGTTCTCATTGTTCAACACCCACCTATGAGTGAGAACATGCGGTGTTTGATTTTCTGTGTCAGTTTGCTGAAAATAAGTGGCTTTTTTCTTTAAATGACTAGAGTTTCATTTACAGTAATGTGTAAAAAATAACTTTTATGCGTTTATTTTTTAAAAGCATTTCATTTTTTTCTTCCTCTTCATTAGTCTTTAAGTAGCAAATTCTCATTATAAACTATGCAAACCATGTTTCTCCCTCTCTCTAAATAAATAAAGGTGTAAGTGTAACCATGATGGCAGAGATGGTGGCTAAAATGATCTTGATGGTAACGTTTTAGGCATTTTGTTAAGGCTTTGCGTATATGGTTTTATTTAATAAAAATACTATGAGGTTGACTTGACTTAGTAAAATTTTATACATTAAGAGTCTGTCAGTTTGGTAGTATGGAGCAGAAATGCAAACCTGTATCATTTTAAATACCTGCATTCTTTAAAAACAAAAATTTTTAAATATTTATTTTAGATTTGGGGGTAACGTAAATGTTTGTTACATAGGTAAACATGTGTCACAGGGGTTTGTTTTTGTTCATTTGTTTTGTTTGTTTGAGATGGGGTTTCAATCTTGTTGCCCAGACTGTAGTGCAATGGTGTGATCTTGGCTCACCGCAACCTCCGCCTCCCGGGTTTAAGCGATTCTCCTGCCTCAGCCTCCCAAGTAGCTGGGACTACAGGTGTGCCTCATCATGCCTGGCTAATTTGGTATTTTTAGCAGAGACAGGGTTTTTCTCCATGTTGGTCAGGCTGGTCTCAAACTCCCGACCTCAGGTGATCAGCCCGCCTCAGCCTCCCAAAGTGCTGGGATTACAGGCATGAGCCACTGCACTGGCCAGGGGTTTGTTTTACATATTATTTCATCACCCAGGTTTTATGCCCAGTACACAGTAGTTATCTTTTCAGCTCCTCTGCGTCTTCCCAGCCACCTCGCTCAAGTAGACTCCAGTGTTTGTTGTTTCCTTGTTTGTGTTCCTAAGTTCTTACCACTTAGCTCCCACTTATAAGTGAGAACATGCAGTATTTGGTTTTCTGTACCTACGTTAGTTTGCTAAGGATAATAGCCTCAAGCTGCATCCGTGTTCCTACAAAAGACATAGTCTCATTCTTTCTTACGGCTGCATAGCATTCCATGGTTTTATGTATCACATTTTCTTCAATTTGTCATTGATGGAAATTTAGGATGGTTCTATGTCTTTGCTGTTGAGAATAGTGCTGCAGTGAACAATTGTGTACATGTGTCTTTATATTACCTACATTCTTAACCTGTGCTGTGTGTTATTCTAATAAAAGAGTTACTAAAGAATTCCCTACTAGTAAGTACAAGTAATGTGCTTTTGGGAAAAATGGTATGTTTAAAACAGGGAAAGCATTCAATTTCTCAGAGAGTCTTTTATTTGCTTGACTCATTGAGAGACTGTCCACATTTACAGTGGAAGCAAACTGCCCTCCTAGACAGTCAAGATATAGATTAAATATTCAGTTTACTACTGGGACAGAATTTTGCATTTCTCATATAAGGATATGCATATCTTATGAAACTGAGTGCGTCAAAGAAAAGTATTGATTCCTCCCTACGTACCTTTTTTTCTGTGGTTATACTTACTTCTAAAGTCACGAACTGTAAAATTTGGCTTGATGGCAGCCTCAGGTGCTAATCTAAAGGAGAAGTGCTGTCCAGCAGGTGAAAGATCTCGGTCTGCAGCACTGACTATCTGAATTATCTGAAACAGAGTTGAGATTAAACTTGAAGTCAGTCATCAGTTTCAAAGAGGCCTTTACACACCAGGCTACTAAATTTATTTAACGAAGCATGCAAGTAGACAGAAATGACACTTTTTGAATCAATGCCAGCTGGTCAATAATTTACACATAATTTTTATATGCAAATTTCTAACACTTACAGGGAATAATGACAAGTACAATGACAGAACATGGGCTAATTTCAAATTGATACCTGTGTAACTACAAAGGTTACCAGCATTAAAAATGCACACTAATAAGGAAAGTAAAATTAAAATGCACTTGCTTGCATTTTAAATTAGATAAAATAAATGTTTTCTGGCCTGAATATGAAAAGGCTTACCGAAAACAAAATCTCTGATTATCTAAAAGTCCTTGTGATAGCAAAATTTTCATATGCATTACGTTTTATAACAATGGTCCTATTTTCATCAATAAATAAAATGATGAAAAAGAGAGATACAAAAGGTGCATACCTGCTTTTGTTTTGTTTTTCTTCATTCAGTAGGAATATAAATTGTGTTTTCAAAGAGTCTTTAAAAAAGTAAGCACTATCGTTCCTGTTACAAAATTTTTCCAAAATTACTCCCATAGATTGTATATCTTACAGTTAAAAGCCTGGTACTTCAATAAAATGCCCTTAAATACTTAGAGAATAAAAACAACTTCTAAGAATCAAACTGTGAAATTTACAATTCATTAAATAGATAAGCAAATAAGAATGGCTTTTAGGCATTTATTTATTAACATATCCAATGACTGTGCATCAGACAGAATTTTGGGAAATGTATGTGAGAGATGACAAGGGCAGTGCGTTGAGCACATAATCATGATCTCAGACTACATTTGAATATGCAAGAGGAAGACTCTAGATTTCACACACTATTTCCTGGTCCCACTGTGTAAAGCATGCATCCTGTGATCTTACATTGATGCTATTAAACATGAGACTCAGTTAAATCTCAGTCCTATGACTATGATCTACATTCCTGTTTATCTGCACACACACACAGTTAGATAGATGTGAGATATGTAGGTAGGTAAATGGATGGATGGATGGATGGATGGATAGATAGATATCACTGGGACCTCGAATATCCAGTGCAGTGTTAGTAATTTATAACTTAACAGATTAATTGGTCTTCTATGAATTTTGATTTCTTGTCTTAGCACAAATTAGTCACCCAGACTCTATTTACACTTTAAAATTGTCATGGGGCAGAATTTCGTTATTCAGCACCAAAGTCTAAATCGTGGAATGTGGCAACTTAATCAATGAATCACCATATAGACCCTATGAAACCAACTTTCCCTCACTTAGGCCCTTGCCTGCACATCTCTCTATTTCATCTATAAGATTTCTGAATATTATTCAGTGATTAATATGTGGCTATCAAATTTTGCCTTCTCTTGCTTCTATTATCAAGTAGCACCATTTACTAAATTAAATGTATAACATCATAATCTGGCACTTATCTGGAAGTGTCAGTTGGGGGTCCTTGCCCCGAGGGAAACAACTCCCATATAAATCTTTACTGATTTACATAGCAACCTCTTTCCCCCTTTTCTTATTTTTTTAAATTAAATAGATGATACATAGATGATAGATAGTCAGATAATAGACAGTAGCATAATCTAGGAGAGACAGATAGTTCCTCTGCATAATTCTTAGGCTGGGGCAGAATGGCAGGACTCAAAAGCAGAAAGTACTCATATTTTACAATCCCTGAAACTCAATGGACATTTCAGGGTTATGTTTTGTACAAAAGTGTGGCTCAATTGGACACAAAAATCCCCAGAAACATACTTCAGAATAAGAGCTTCTAAGAATCCAAGATATTCCTCAAAATTTTCTTTAGATATGAAAACAGAAGATTGAATTCTAATTTTCTATTCTCAGCTCATCAAATCCTTTAATTTATTGGAAAAACATGCAACATTAAATGGAGCTCTTTTCCCAAAGGCTTCCATTTGGAGCATTACAAATGGAATTCTAATTGATCTGAAAGCATTAATATCCTTAATCCCCTAATGCTAAATAACTGGCTTTTTTTTTTTCTCTGTTTAGTGAGGCATTCTGAAAGTGGAAAATAGCTAACTTGAGGAATTTCGGTAAACTTCTTCAAATTCCAAGAACAACCAAATCAGGTTATTTATTTGAGCCCAAATGTTTTTGTAGCACCTATGATTGCTGAAGATAATGAAAGCTGTAGGCTCATCCCATATAAATTGTAGATGCACTTAAGATGATTTTTAAGTGATTTCTGTGCTGATACAAGATTAAGATGCAGATTTCTTGCTTGAGGAAATATCACAAAATAAGTTATGATGTAAGAGAATTAAGGATTTCCCCAAATTATCAAATGAAAGAGGAGAGCAGCATTGTCAAATAGAAGTTTCCATGGTTATTCTATATCTACAGTCACCAAAATAATGTCTACTTACCACATATTGAGCACTTGAAATGTAGTTAGTATGAATGAGAATATAGTTTTTAGTTTTAGGTAATTTTAATTTTATTTAAATAGCCATACAACCAGTAGACATCACAGGTTTAGAACTACAGGACAAAGGTTCTACCAAGTGATGTAAAACATGGAAATTGAAAATGATACTAAAGGTTAAAGAATGACTTTTTACAGCAAAAATACTGTATTAAATATCAAGATTTATTTCAAGTAAGAATTGAAACTCTTCAAATCTACTTAAGTGAATAGTGATGCTATTTAAAGGTGATCAAAAAATACAGCAAACCAAAGCATACCAATGTATTTTCCCTTTGGAATGTAGGTACACGATATTAGATTAATCATATTTTTGTTTCATTACATACTCTTTTCATATACCCATGCCTGATTCCCTTTATATTCTTCCTTTATTCATTCATAAGACTTTAGGGAGTAAAAAGAAAAAAAAAATGGCTACCTACCACCTTCTAAAGTAGAACTTTTCACAATTAGTTTCATTAACTTTGTGGTCTTCTTTCCTCATAAGATCTTCCCACTACTACATCTTCACAGAATAATATTAACTTCATAAGAAAAATGAAAGTTGGACATTTAAAATAACCTAGTTGTTCTCCTCTAGGCCACCAGAGAGGAAAGCTTTGCATTTTCAGGTTAGATTAAAAGCTTTGTTATGCAACTTATACAAGCAAATGAGTAAAATAAGAAATATACTGGGAAAATGCATTCTACAGTGGCTTGCTTACTGAGTTTACAGTCACAAGTTCTTTAGAAATTTGTGGGTGGATCACTTGAGGTCAGGACTTCAAGCCCAGCCTGGCCAACATGATGACAACCCATCTCTACTAAAAATACACAAACTTAGCTGGGCCTGGTTGTGCATGCCTATAATCCCAGCTACTTGGGAGGTTGAGACAGGGGAATCACTTGAACATGGGTGGCGGAGGTTGCAGTGAGCCAAGATTGTGCCATTGCACTCCAGCCTGGGCCACAGAGTGAGACTTCAAATCAAAAAAAAAAAAGAAATTCCACAGTAAGAGAACGGAAAAACAGCAGAATTCACAAGTGTAGACCTTTAATTATACAAAGAACTTTCACTAGGCAATCAATAATTCATCTGTGCAGTATCACCTCCACATCCATTCATCTATATTATTAATTTACAAGGGTTTAATATCTCTTATGGTTTCTGTTATGAAGAGATCTGATTCAGAAAAATAAATGTATGTGTGTATATTCATGTCTGGACTTATAACTTAAAACACATGCATATAGTGGGTCTTTATATACTCAAGAAACAAAATTTATAAGATACCTGTCCTGGCTTGGCATTTTCACACACAGCTGTCTCATATGGCACAGATATTTCTGGAGGAAATTCATTGACATCTAAGACATTAATCAGTATATTGACTTTGCTGGTTAATAAAGGGTTACCTGTTAAAAGCAGATAAAGATAAAAGATGATTACAAAATCCAGTCAATTATTGCTTCTACAATAAATAGCATTTTAATTTTTAAAAATCAGCTTATATATAGAATAAGAAAAAAATCCCTCTTCTTCTAGAAAATTGAGGGTTCCAATTACAGATGACAAAATGGGTTCTTTTATCATTTTCTATCTTCTTTATCAAATGAATCCTTTTTATCCTCTGTAGTTGGAACCATCAGAATTCAATACCAACATAAGGCCAGCTATTTAATTGATATTTTAGCATAAGTGTAGCTCTTTCTAAAAGAAGGACTTGGCCACTGTTCCAGGGCTAGCTCACAGAACCAATGTTTACCAACAGTGATATTTTTCCCCAGATAAAAAATTGTCTATGTTGTACCCTTATAATGAAAATGTTATCAGTTGAATAATCTACATATTTAAATGACTCACTCAAAATGATTTCTCCTAGAAGATTCCTCCTGAAAAGAAGAATTGTAACAAAAAAGGGAGAGAAGACTCTTCATAAATGAAAAGTGTTAAAGTAAACTTAAGGAAGTAGAAATAAGAGACGGATTATGGAAAGCTAGTGGATATCCTTAAATTACTTGCTGGTGATAAAAAAGGAAGTAATAAACTTTTTTGCAGTAACTTACTTCTTCCTGCTTCCTGACAGTATCAGAAAGGCTGTCAGTTTGACAAGATGTCTCTGCCAAAATCCTATCACCGGTTTTGTTCCCAGCTTATGGATTATTATCTCTGTCATTTGCTGAATAAAACTAGAAATAATTACATAAACCAATAAAGCATAAAATCATAAAATAATGTACCTGTGGTGAACTTGTACAATATATAATTTTACCTTATGAAATGTTACAGATGGCTAAACTGTTACACATTGTTGAAGGACCTCTTATAAAGAGACAGAAAGCAAGATGAATGGGAAGCTTAGAGGCAAACCCAGGATTACAAAAATTCAAAGACCATGCTTATTCCATCATAACTTCTCTATTGATTGCTTTATGAGTTAGACTTCTGCAGTACCTCCAAAAACTTGTAATATTCTTTTAGATGTCTATTTAGAATACTTCAAAGAATGCATAAAAAATCATTCAACATGAGTGATTTTGAAAGGTATACAATGTCTTGGTTGGTTAAAATTCACTTAAAAAATATATTACAACCATTTGACACAACAGCTTTAACAGCATTCTCCTATTCACATGTGACGGTGACATTCAGTATTTGTACCAATACCCACACAGGTAACATAAATTGAGTATAAATAGTATGTTTTTGTAATACCAGGTGTGTTTATAAAAGGTATGTTAATAATCTTGGAGAATTATTCAGAAAATACATATTATTTAAACATTTATATTGGTCACAAGCCACTATCTTACTTGGTGGAAACTGGCCTGGTTTTCACAAGTTATTTATCCTTTCTTCAATTCAATTTCCTTGCATGAAACATAGGCTCTGCTTCACAGGCTCTGCTTCATAGTGCTGTTGCACTACATGAGGTGGTATTTTGCAACATGTTTGATAAATTTCGGTAAATATCGTTACTCTTATTACCATTTATATTTTGTGGAGACGCTCAAGGTCTGTTTCTGTTTTTGCTATTTGCTTTTACATAGTATAAAATATAAAATACCAGTCGACAGCTTGGTTAAACTAGGTTTACTTTTATAAAGAAACTGGAAATTATAAACCACAATGCCTAATGCCTAATATTTTAGCATGCCTGCAATATACAAATATTCTAAAGCACATTACAAAGATAAACTCATTTAGGTGTTACAGTAACTATAATATAGGCATTATTTTATCTCCATTGTGTATGTGAAACTCTGAATAGACGGGGATATAACTTTTCGAATATTATAAGTTGAAACTGATAAGGCTAGGTTTTGATTCCAGCTGTTCTGATTCCACAGCTCATGCTATTAAACTCTATTATATATTGAGGTTTAGAAGAAATGAAAAAAAAAACCACTTTGGCAATTATATAGTTACTTACAAAAAGATAACTAATTCATTTCGTAAAGTTTAGTAAATGAATGTGAATAACTTAAACTACTCAATATCTGGGCAATGTAAAACTCAGTTTCTACTTTCTATTTTACATGGCACATAACGTATGAATTCCTGCAACTGCATGAAAAGGAGCATGTCTTTTTTACTTCTTTTCAGTATTAGGATTTTGTTTCATTAAGTTGGTGAAAGAATGGGATATCTTCCACAGGAGACAGGAGTTCCATTAGAGATTTATTTTATAATATAAGAAAACGTTATTAAAATGAATTTAGACCTGGATTATGCATCAGAAATTAATTCTCTTCTGCTAGTTGTTAATTATTTTCTATCCTGCAAAATAGATTCTAATATCTGTTATGAGTAAATTGTCCCCAAATTATTCTCAATATTGTCATTGTTTTATTTAAAAAAAAATTAGTGTTTCCCCAAAGGTACTTTTGGCATTTTAGCTAAGTCAGTGTTTTGTGGTGTGAAACCTCCCTGTAAAATAGATACCCTACAGGATATCGAAATTTCCTGAAGATTAAATGTCACAAGGCAGCATTGTGGCAATACAAAATAAATGCCCAGATAAAGAGAGAAAAAATAACCAAAAACATGTTCACATTATTGAAAATGAGTAACAAGTTTATCTGTTTAGTAATATTACTCTCTCCTATCATATATTTTCAAAACGTTCCATAATCAAATGTTAATAATGTCTCCTAATATTGTTAAGCAATAACATCTCAGTTTGAGAACTACTGTTCTCAAAAATAAATTGAAACTTTCAAGAGAATGAATAATGTATAGGAGTAATACAGCATTCTTTAATTTATATAAATAGATATTGTACTAAATTATTTTGAAACGTAATGACCTATTTTCTTACTGACTCATCTAATCAATATTTGTGGCAACAATGATGAAATTCATTTAACCTCAATTCCGCATGAGTATTATTTTACCATTATTTGAAAATAACACCATGTGGAAATTTGTTACTGTTGAGTAGTTGTAAAGCAAATTTAATTACGGACCTAGTAAACATTAAATAATCATAGTCTTACACAATTAACTGTTGAGTTCCTAATTGTCAAACCATTTAAATGTCAATTATTATTGTTCCACATTGCCTAAATTTAATAGCTAGTTACTTACTAATTTGAGGTTCGTATAAGATAACAAGGAAACAGTTCTATGTTTGTCCCTTATACCTTCACAATGCTTTGATAGATCTTCCTCTCCCTATCTTTCAGTAACATCTGAGTCAGATCCCATTGCATTTAGAGTCAATTTGATTTAGAACCTATTTTATTATTAATATTTTAACTTACAGCTTAAACTAAGAGAAAAAAAAGCAAAAATAAATTACCAAAATCTGAAGTGCATTCATTACTTCTCATTATAAATAAAATAAAAAATGATAAAGGAATATTTTAAATTGTTTATGTGAGAACATAGTTAATATAGGTGAAATTGGCAAATTCCTATAACATACAAATTAGCAAAACTGACTGAAGAATAAATAAAAAATCTTAACATACTTAAAATAGTGAAGAAATGAACTTGAAAAATCTCCCCACCAGGTAAAGTCCAAGCCCAGGTGGCTTTCACTGGGGAATTCTATCAAATATTTAAGGAACAAATAATAGCATTTTCTTACAGTCTCTTTCAGAAGTAGAGGAAGCAGCACTTACCACCTAATCCTATGTGCCTTGATATCAAAGACCAAAAAAAAAAAAAAAAAAAACTCACAAAAGCCAAAATCACTATTGCATCTTATAAACACAAGTACAAACACTCCTTAAGAAAATATTAGCAAATTAATTCAAGCAGCAAGTTATACAGATGATACCTTATGACAAATGGATGTTAATCCTAGGGACACAAGGTTGATTTAACATCCAAGAACAATCTCCATATTAATACAAGAAAGAACAAAATTTTACAAGGCTATCTCAGTAGACTTGGAATTTGCATTTGACAAAAAACCTAGTCCATTCATGATAAAAACTCTCAAGAAACAATAAATAAAAGGCAGCTTCCTCAACCTGATGAAGTAGGACTATGAGAAACTAATATCATGGTGACACACTTTTTTTCTAACACTGTGCATGGAATAAGAATATGTGCTCTTGAAATGTATATATCCAACATTGTCCTTGAGGGTTTTATGCATTGAAATCAGACCCAAATATATATTTTTAAATGGTACCCAGATAGAAAGAAAGAAAGAAAATGATTACTGCTTAAAGACAATATGAGCCTGTAGATGAAAATCCTAAGGAATCTGCAAATAAACTTACAGATATAATAAAGGAATACATCAAGTTCATTGGATAGGAGATAAATGTAAAGTGATAATTGTACATTTAATACACTAGCAAAGTCCAAATTTGTCAGTATATTAAGTATCCTTTGAAGGATACTTAATATGCTCAAAGGAAGGGAGGATAGACCTCACTTCTTCATCAAAGAAATGTCAGCTTCATTGTCAGAAGATTTTTAGGTATGGCCCAATTAGAATCTGTAGTCAGAAATCTCTTCTGGAAATGGTTCACTAGGAACTACCATTGCAACCTTTGATAAAGGCTGAAAAACCTGAATTCTAAATCCAAAAGAGAATTTAGTATTTATATGAATTTATAGTTCTCATGCTATTCTTCTGAGTGCTACGTTGTTTCACAAGGTGTAAAGAGAAGCTGTTAGCATTAACCACCATTTTCTTGATATAATCTAAGGAGATTCCACATAAGATTTTATTTGACAACGTGTCCTGCTGATTTACAAAGTTTGAAAACTATAAATATATAAATAGCTATTTATAGATGAAAAAACATTGATATAATCTTTCCTATGATTTCTGTTGGAGTCGAGACAGGAATTCAAATCTCACAGTTTCTCAATGCCCTATAATAGCTATTAACTAACTCAGAGAGCAAGAAGATGGAATGCCTGATATATACCAATGTATGTGATGATC